ACATCCTCAAGAAAGAGTGATTCTCACTCCCCAGCAACTATCAAATAGCTCTTCAGTAAGGATGGGGCCTGGAGAGCATCTACCTCATCTAAAATTTAGAAAACTTTTTAACAAAATAAATGAGTTTTACTGCCAATTTTTTAAATTATTTCTAATTATGTGTCTGTGTGTCTCTGTGTGTCGGTTTTTATAGAAGGTGCTAGAGAGGGCAAAGGTGTCAGACTCTTATAACTGAAGTTACAGGTAGCTCTGAGTCTGAGGTGGGTTCTGGGAATCAGACTCAGGTCCTTGGGAAGAGCAGAATATACACTTAACCACTGAGCTATCTCTCTAGTCACACTCCCAAGAAGATTTTAAATCAACTAGAAGTCAACATAGAAAAAAGTTTTGTGCCCCAAGCATTCAATGTATGTACCCACTGCTGACCAGGTCTCCTCCTGAGCACCTCTCGGAGTCATGGAAATGATAAACAGGTAATGAGATAAGGCCTTGCTACCTAAGAAATCAAGAACCCTAAGAGAAGCAGACACATGTCCTCGAGCTGTGTCCTCTCTCTTCTGGATGCTTGGCTCCAGTTCTAAGGCCTAATTGCCCCCACTACCACCTCATGTCTAACCGTCTGCATGAGGAAACAATATCAAAAAGCTCCAATTCATAAAAAAAAGATAAGTTCAGTTATCAGAAGCATCGGAGCATATAACAGCTTCTATAAATGAAGAGATGCACCACTAATATGAAAAATGCAAAGCTGTAATTTGCCCTACCTTATTATGTTATGTGGTCCCAAGTTGGTAGCACAATTTCAAGGAAGCTGTGACACCTTAAAGTAGTGGGGCCCATGGGTGACAGTGAACTACCAAGCACGGGCTGTGAAGATTGCCTCTGGCCTCTGCTCCTGGCTCTACATACCTTGTTCTCTGCTATCTAGTGGCCGAAGGCTCCTGCCACCATCAACTGGGCTGTCCCGCCATTCCTTCAACACCATGATGAATGGACCCTTTCTAAAACATGAGCCAAAAGAAACTTTCCTACTTTCAGATTAACCATATTAATATGCTAGTCACAGCAACACAGCAGTAACTAATAATCACCTCTATAAATTCTCTCAGGAAGCTAGAGGGAGTGTGGCACCTGAAAAAAGTCTAGCTTTCAGGCAACAAGGTCAGAGGTGAAATGAAATGAATGGCTAGGTTCTATTTTGCTGCTTCCTTTCAACAACATATTAAAAATATAAGCCAAACACACAACTTATGAAACTATATTGAAGCTGACCAATGACATGCAATTACAAAATAATGGCAGGGCTAGGGGTGTAGCTTAGTGGTAAGGTGCTACATGCAAGACTGGGTTCATGCTGGGGTGGGGAGTTAAATAACAGAAGAGGAACTGGGAAGACAGATCATTCAGTGAAATACTTGCCCCACAAGCACAACAACCTGACTTTGATCCCCAGCATCCATGTAAAATGCCATGTCCAGTGTTCCAGAGAAGGAGACACCCAGATCTCTGGATTTCGCTGTCCAGTCAGCCTAGCCTAGCAAAGACCCAGGTCCCAGTGAGAGACTGTCTCAAAAACAGGTGGACAGCTCAAGGACCAAGACCTAAGGTGGAGCTGTGGTCTCCACAGACATGTCTGTACTTGCCAACACTTACAGAAACATCCACACTTCTAAACATAAACAAAGGAATAAATAAAAATAATAAATAAATAAAATAGGTAACAGCTATCATAAAAACAAAATCTTCATATCCTTAAAGGCACTTAAACTTTCACATACCATTTTTCTTCATCCCTTAAAACATTCAAAATTAACTGTATAGAATGAGGTCTACTGTCAAAACATAATCAAAATTGGTTTAAGCTTAGAACAAAAGGTTAGAAGGAGTTTTTAAATTAAATGTGGACTGATTTTAAATTAATAAATTGTTAAAATGACAAAACTCCCAACTTAATTTACAAAATCCAATGTAATACCTCTCTGATTTCTTGCAGAAATGTACAAATTGATTCTGAAATTCACACAGACATACCAGGGCTGGAGAGATGGCTCAGTGGTTAGGAGTGTTTGACGTACAATCAGGAGGACCTGAGGTAAGATCCCAACAGCCACAGAGCACGCCAGCTCTGAGGGGTCCAATGCCCTCTTTTGACTTCCATATCCACAAGTACTTGCACACACCTACATATGCATGCACATACACACACAAATAAAAGAAAGGAATCTGCCAGTGTGAATGCCTTTAGTCCTAGCACATGGAAGCAGTTTGAGGCCAGCCTGGTCTACATACTTCATATCGAGTTCCAGACTAACCAGAACTACATAGTGTGACTTCATCTCAGAAAGAAAGAAAGAAAGAAAGAAAGAAAGAAAGAAAGAAAGAAAGAAAGAAAGAAAGAAAGGAAGGAAGGAAGGAAGGAAGGGGGAGAG